TTTCTTTCTTTCTTTCTTTCTTTCTTTCTTTCTTTCTTTCTTTCTTTCTTTCTTTCTTTCTGGCTCAAAAAAATTCTGGGTGGCCTTCATAAAGACTTCACAACAAATAGTCTTTTAATGGGTAGCGGTTTGTTTTTTTTAAAACACACATTTCTCTTACCCAACTCCAACAACAATTTCTTCTTCTGTAGGCAGTGGATTTTGGGCTGTTCTGCCCTCTTAATTTTCTTTTTTACCTCCGCTGCCACTTTCCATAAGCTACCCTGTAAGCGAAAGACAGACCTAAGGGCACTTTCCTGAAATCTAGATGGATTTGGTTTGCAGCTCTCCCAAATAAACAATGCCTTGTGTGAACTTGGTGCATCAAAGAAATGACCGCCATTTATGTCATGGCTAGGCAAATCAAGTTATTTTAAGTGTTTCTGCCAGGGATTCTTGTTACAGCAAAAGGAAGAATTATGGCATTAAAGGGAAAGGGGGGAAAAGGGACATTTATTTCTAAGTGTTCTCTCTCACTTTTGTTTTGAAAATGCTCAATGCAAAGAAGCAATTATGGTACCTCAGTTTCATGTGCGTTGAATTAAGTGTTTATCGGACATCTCCCAAATGGCTGGATGAGAAACATGTTTCATTTGCAGCAACCTCTTTGAATATTTCTTGTTAAAAACAATTGCATCAATAAAAAGGCAAACTAATATAAAACAGTCCGGGGCAAAAGCTTTGGTGTCTTTTTATATATCTGTTATTGTATCTCCTAGACTACAGGAAGCAGCCATTCATTGAATTAAGAGCAAAAATGTTAAAACTGGGGCTGTTTGAAGAAAGCTGTTTTTTCATTGAAGAAAGCTGGATTTTCACTCACCCCCCCCCTTTCCTGATCTAAGCTATTAGTGGGAGGAAGGATTGACTTACAAAGGGAAATAAACAAAAGCACTTTAAAAAAATAATCCAAGGAACAGAGTAATATAGCAAGGGAAAATGTTAGTCAAGGAAAGGGGGAAAAAAGAGAGAGGGAATGAATTCCCCCATAATTGGGCTCTATTTCTTGTGACAAATATAGGCAGAGATCTGCTGTGACCCAAATTTATAAAGATTTCATCCATATTTTCCAGGTTAGTTGTAGAAATTAGAGTTAGAAGCAGAATCTGGGATTCTGGCGCTTAAGAGGACAGGGGAGAAAAATAGACAGAGAGACAGACAGAAAGAAAGAAAGAGAGAGAGAGAAAGAAAAAAGAAGGAAAAGTGTAAATAAATAAAGAGAGGGAGGGAGGAGGGGAGGGAAAGAAAAAAGAACAAAAAGGGAGAATAAAAAAAGAAAAGGGGAATTAAATAGAGGGAGGGCAAGAGGAAGGAAGAGAGAGAGAGAGAAAGGAAAAAAGGAATTCTAAAAAAGGAAAGAAAGAAGAAAAAGAACAATAGAGAGAGAGAAAAAGAAAGAAGAAAGGAAAGAAAAAAGGACAAGAAAGAAAGAGAAAATTTAGACAGTATTTTAATGGGTCATGCATGATATTCCCCCCCCCCCTGTGAAGTAGTTTCATGCATCTATTGGAAAGCAACATTCATATTTTTCTTCCTTTCCTCCTTTCCTTTCCCTTCCCTTCCCATTTATTTCCTTCCCTTCCTTCCCCTTTCCATTTACTTCCTTCCCTTTTCATTTACTTCCTTCCCTTCCCATTTATTTCCTTCCCTTCCTTTCCCTTCCCATTTACTTCCTTTCCTTCCCATTTATTTCCTTCCCTTCCTTTCCCTTCCCATTTACTTCCTTCCCTTTCCATTTACTTCCTTCCCTTCCCATTTATTTCCTTCCCTTCCTTTCCCTTCCCATTTACTTCCTTTCCTTCCCATTTATTTCCTTCCCTTCCTTTCCCTTCCCATTTACTTCCTTCCCTTTCCATTTACTTCCTTCCCTTGCTATATTACTCTGTTCCTTG